AAAAGTTGCCATAAGCTGTTTTTACAGAATTTGATTCAACAAGCATCCTAGAATACAAATTTGATCATAACAGTACATTCTTTTTCTTTACTCTTCTATTCATACATTCCTTTAAAACCTAGCACATAGTTGGGCACAAAACTCTGAGCCTTTACCCAAACTTCTGTAGTATGCTTAAACTCAGAAAAGGCAAATTTAATATCTGAAATTCTAAAAGGGATTGAGAAAATACAAAATCCAAAAAGATTGATACTTTGAAATCTTTTCTAGTATCCAGCACAAACCCATGTGAGCAACAATCATGAAAGATCGAGAGAGCGAACCTGGAAGGTGATCGAAGTGGTGCAGAGGCGGAAAAAAGAGGGGTGGTCGGTGGAGAGGGTGAAGGAGGTCGACCACTAAAATTTCCGAAAGATGGTTGTGCTTTCGGCGGTTCAGTTGGCCCTGACGCCTTCCCAAACCCCGAGTACATTGGTGTTTCAGAGTGTCTTCTTGTTAATTTTTTGTTTTCTTTTCTTGTTTCAAACTTTTCAACTCGCAGAAAAAGAAAGCCAGAAGATTTTTGAGCTTTGGAGCACGAAACGCAAAGAAACGCCGTCGTCTTAACGGGCCAGATTCAAGCCCAACTCAAAACCATCTGTTAGTATTGGGCCTCCAATTATACAGGCCTACATCACATCACAGCACATGGATATATCCTTATCCGCTTTGATGCAAAAAAGAAAAGCCCACGTGGTTGATTTTCCGTCCATATTCATTTTCCCGGAAATCTACATCAAGAACTTTCCCAGAAAATCCATCTCAATCATTGAGTGCGGACTGTGGGAATGGCTGCACCAGGACCAGGGTCAGTTCAGAAAGCAGAGGAAGAATGGCGCGCTATTCTCTCCCCTGAACAGTTTAGGATTCTACGCGAGAAGGGGACAGAGTAATTCCTACTCTTTCTTTTTTTCTTCCTTAAAAAGATTTTTTTTTTTATCATCATATATGCTATGATTTATTTAGTTATGTCTCATATGATTTGTGGCCTTTCATGGGTTTTAGCTCTTTCTGGCTTTTGTGATTAGTCTGATTGCTTACAGAGATTTTATTAACCTTTCATTAATTTTGAGAGATTAAATTTTTTGCCTTTGCATTTTTGTACTTACTGCACAAATAAATGCCTTTTGACTTTTTTTTTCTTGGTATATATTTATTTTCCTTTCATTTGTTGAAATATAATTGTATTTCCTTGATTTAATTCTTAGAATATGTAATGCAAAGCTTGTAGCAGAGTTCCAAAGTCTGATATTTTGTATTTCCTACACAACCATAGCATCAGTGATCATTTGGCAGAAGGCTTTATGGGATGGGTTTTAGTGTTTTTCCTTGTTGTATCTTTAGATTTAGATTAAAGAGGGGCAATAATTATCCCAGTGAACAATTGCTATCTAGTTCCTTCACCAGAATTTGGGGACAAGCAGTTGCATACAAATGAATAGGTTAAATGAGACTTGCTTATCATTGGAGTTTGATGACATACAGGCTAAAATTCACTGGGGAATATGACAAGGTTTTTGAAGAAGGGGTTTACAATTGTGCTGGTTGTGGAACACCGCTTTATAAGTCAACTACCAAGTTCGACTCTGGATGCGGTTGGCCTGCATTCTATGAGGGTCTGCCTGGAGCCATAAACCGCTCTGTAAGCTTCTAACTTTCTATTTCTAAGTTTGTTAAAGTTATTGCCCTATGCATTTTGCTGAAATTTTATAGAACTGAA